TGACCATGTTACTCGACCACCAATTCCAGTAACATCACCCACTGCTCTTCGACCAGTTGCTGCTAAAAACAAGAAGAAGGTTTTTGTTCCTCCTCCTTACAAGCCCCCACTTCCATTTCCTGGTCGTCACAAGAAAGCGTTGGCAGATAAGTACAGAGCTATGTTTGCCAAGAACATCAGAGAAGTTGAATTGAGGATACCTCTTGTTGATGCTCTCGCACTTATTCCGAATTCCCACAAGTTTCTGAAAGACTTGATCATGGAGAGAATAAAGGAAGTGCAAGGGATGGTTATGGAGAGTCATGAGTGCAGTGAAATCATCCAAACGAAGATTATTCCCAAGAAATTGGGAGATCCTGGTTCATTTACCTTACCTTGCTCTCTAGGTCCTTTGGCCTTCAGTAACTGCCTATGTGATCTAGGTGCTTTTATAAGTCTCATGCCTCTCTCTGTGGCCAAGAGACTAGGTTTCAGCAAGTATAAACCTTGCAACATCTCCTTGATCCTGGTTGATGAGTCTATCAGACTACCGCATGGGTTATTAGAAGATTTGCCTATTAAGATTGGAAATGTTGAAATCCCCACAGACTTCATAGTGCTAGAAATGGATGTAGAACCAAAAGATCCTTTAATCTTAGGAAGACCCTTCTTAGCCACTGCTGGAGCTATCATTGATGTTAAGAATGGGAAGATTGATCTTAATCTGGGAAATGATTTCAAAATGAAGTTTGACATCAATGACGCCACGAGAAAGCCAACAATTGAAGGACAAACCTTCTTAGTAAAGATAATTGATCGCCTAGCTGATGAACTGCTAGAGGAGGTTGCTGAGGAAGATCACCAACACACTTCTTTGACTAAGAATGGTGAAGCAGGATATCTTCTCACTGAAACCTTGAGTTGTGGTAAGTCATTAGATTCACACAAGGAAGTAGCAGGGTCAGAGGTCTTAAAAGACTTGTTTGAGTCAGAAACAGTGGGTAAGGCAGCATATGAAGCAAGCTCAACACATGTTCAACCAACCGACTCGAGTATACACTTGAGCAAGCCTTCAACTAGTCTGGAGAACTCTAGCTCGATCAAACATCTTGACAAGCTGCTAGAGTCTAGCAACTCCGCGCCAGATGGCTGGTTAGAGCTCAAGGAGAGGTCCAAATGGCAGGACAAAACCATAAGGGAGTTAGTAGATATTGTGAAAGAGCTGAAAGATCAAATCAAGGAGCTCCATGGAAAAGCCAACCAAGTGCCACTCAATATCAAGGACGTCCAAAATGATGGAGCCACTACTCTGGTCAGCAAAGAAGGATGTGAATTCACATTGAAATGGTCTAGAGAAGAAGACCATCCTCCTGATCAAAAAGAAGGTTTCTTCAAGGACATGGCCACTGAGTACCCAATTGCAGACCTATCAGAAGAGCATGCTGAGTTTGACGATGCATCTACTGAAGAAGAAGAGGAGACCTCGTTTCCTCTCTGCAAACCACCCTAAGCCTAATGAGTGTGAGGAGTCAAGCTTAGAGACTTAAAACAAGCTCACTTGGGAGGAAGTCCCATGTCTATCCACATACATATTTTTATTTTCTTGTTATTTTTAATGCGTTTGGTAGTGTTTTGGTTTTCAGGAAATGAGTATCAAGTGCAAAGTGAAGTGGTCTTGATTTTTGAATTTTGGAGGTTATACTCGATGAAGCATATGGGATGACAGTGGTACAGTGTAATCGAGTATGGAGTGGGGTTTTGGTTCCAAGATTTTTGGATTTTCAACATGTCACTCTATCACAAGAGGCCACATGGTAATGAAGAGTTGCAGTCGAGTATGATGTGATTTTTGATCTAAATTTTTCAAAATCAACATCATACTCGACCAACACAAGCCATATGGTAATGAGATGACATGGTCGAGCATCAAGAAGGAGAAGGAGCAGAAGCACAACAGCAAGACTCCTCAATGGCCTGGCAGTTTACACAAAGCAGGCATTGATGAGCACATCAACTCCTTCTTCAGTTGAGGTAACAACTCCATTTCTCACTGATTATACCATTTTATGTCTTCTTTCTTTATTTATTTGTCTTGAGTACTCTCTTCCAAGTATGGTCACACAGAGGACTGTGTGATTTAAGGTTGGGGGAGGGCTCAGGGAATATCTGATGTGTTTTCTTTGTTCTTATTTTCAAATTTCTGCATTGTGCATACTCTTGAGTCTGCATGCATCTATGTCATTGAAAAAGCCTAAAAATTTGATTTTTTTTTGAAAATGATTTCACAAAAACAGAGTGTTCATGTAGTTTGCATTGTCATTTTAGGATTGTTTTAGTATGCTTTCATATAGGATTGCTGCATATGCATAGGGGATGATGATGATATGACCTTGTAAGCATGCTCATTTACTGAATGAATTCAATGCCCTCGTTGTTAGTTGTTTAATGCTTGTGATAGAACTTGAAGTAAGACAGCACCATATTTGGAATTCACAACTTGACTCTCTTGTTTTAATTGAAGCATGCTTGATGTGATTCTTTTCCCTATCTATTAGAACCTGAACTTGACTTATAATTATCATGTCTTTGCATTGTTGTTGAACTTGTGGCTACCAATACACATACTTAGATTTTGTTTCACCTTCTACCACTCTTGCTAATCCAAGTAGCTGATTCCCATCATTGGAACAGTTTCCCCCACCCTGAACCTAACCTTTCTTTCAAGCCCTGAATAAATTTGTGTGTGTGTGAGGCCTATTTCCGGATTGAGCTTGGTAGAAAGTGTTAGGTATGAACCGACAAGAATGGTATCCCATGTAGTTCTAGTCCACGCTTTTTGGCTAGATAGGACTAGGTGGGAGTTTTACTTTGGGTTTTGGAATGTGTTTGGAAAGAAAATGAGAAAGAAAGACAAGTGTTATTGTTCTTAGGAGATGGAAGTGAAACAGAAAAGAATATCTTGTTAGTCTAGTAAAGGATTTGGGAAGCTTGAAAATAAAAGAAGTTAGGCTCTGTGCAAAGTAAAAAGAAAGGCAAAAGCCTAGAAATGTCTTAAGTCATGAGATGAAAAGAAGAGCCTTAGTTGTTAGAGAAAGTCCCAATCCGCTAGAAACTCTAAAAAAAAACCTCTTCTTAGAACAAAACCAAAAAGAAAGAATGGGTTGATCCAAAAGTTTATTGAAACATGCCTTGAGTGCAAAGGGTAGAATTAGGATCATTTTTGGGGTTTAGAGACAGGACCATCTATGGAGTTTGATATACTTATGGTTATTTGGGTAGATGGGGTCTGTTCTTGTATGCGTAGGTTGGTTCTAACCTTTAGCATTCTAAAAGCTCTGTACATTCATGAGAGTTCCCTGTTATTGTGAAAAAGTCTGAAACCATTTACAGAGGAACCATCTTTGTTTCTCAGCCTTGTCCTTTAAACCAAATGAGTTCTTCAACAATGTTTTGCTTGATTCATGGTTTGAGCTTAATCAATGTTAAAGGGAATTGATGATCTGAAGGTGTGTGTAGATTGGAACAAATGTTCGGTTGTCTTGTGATGAATATGGCTAAAGTTTTTAAGTAGAGTTTGGTCTCTAAGCATTCCACAATTACTAACTTGGACATTGAGTTCATTTGCTTTGTCTGCATGTTTTGGTTCTGAGTCCCCGCTTTCAAACCTCTCCTCCAGCTTGTTCTTAATTGTTTGCTTGAGGGCAAGCAAAGACTAAGTTTGGGGGAGTTGATATGTCTATATTTTACTTGTTTTGAGCATCCATTTAGCATCACTTTATCATCATTTCGTCATTGTTTCATACCATTTCTCATCGCTTGTCGCCACTTTACATGTTTAGGATAGCTTTGCATGCACGTTGCACATTTCTGTGGTTTTCAGATGATTTGGAGCTACTAATGAGTAGTCAGTCGAGCAGTCAGTCGAGCACTCTCAGCAGCCATCGCCTCAAGACACTCGATCACGTCATCTCATCACCAAATGGAGTGCACGGTCGAGTACCCACTTCTTCAACAACTCGACTGATCACTCGACCACATCTTCTCATCACCATGTGGATTACGCGATCGAGCATCACCAGCAGATTCTCCACAGAACCACTCGAGTTCGCAGTCGAGCACCACTCGATCACCAAGTCGACTGACCACTCGATCACCAAGTCGACTGACCACTCGATCACCATCTCAACATCATGCTCGAACACATACTCGACCAACATGGTCGAGTACCTTCCACCAACCTACTCGACCAAGCACTCGACTGCACGCTTCAGAGGCTTCTCAGATCCGCACTCAACCAAACATTGAGCATAAGGAAGAGAAGAGGATGAAGCATTACATCATGACTGGAGCAAGAATCCACCAAGACGTCAACTTTGCTCGATTGCTCCTACTTGATCACAAGGGTCGAGTACTCTCTTAAACCGCTTTAAAACTTTGTCGTTTTATGTTTTAGGGCTTCCTAGTATTTGCTATAAATAGGTTGTTTCTCATAATTTTTAGACTAAGTTTTATTCTGCAGAACAATTAGTGCTTTCTTCATATTTGTAATCCAAATTTCTCTTAATCTATTGAGTATTTGCTTTTGATTTTTTCTACAAAGTTGTTCACACTACAAGAAAACAAGCTGTTTGCGACCAACGAAATCGTCCCAAATTAGTCATACAGTCGGCATTTGAGACTGAATAAGGACTGTTTTGGTTGGTCGCAAAAATTTGGTCGCAAATTTATTTGGTCGCAAAACCGTCCTTTATTACCGACCACTTAGTGAGAACGACTAATTAATGTAGTCCTACATAGAGACTATTTTGTGACTGAAGTTGATAGTCGAAACCAGAGACGACGTTGCAACGGCAAGTTGAGTCGTAAGGATGCGACGTTTTAAAGACTACATGATGGATTCTAGCGTCACTAATTAGCAACCAATATGCCACTGTTTTTATTTGTATGTGGTGGCAAATAGGTGAGAAAATAGCTATTTATTTGCAACCTCCCCTAAATTAAATTGACAAAAAAAAACTAAATTTAAAAGAAATCCTAATATGATTTATATTAGAAACCCAAAAAATAATTCAGTACTACAAAAACCAAACCTAAAATCATCATCCATAACAAAAGCCAAAGTAGATTAAAAGGTCTAAAACAGAGGATGAATAATTGTTAGAAAAGGTCTAAGCCAAGGGAGAGGATGAAGAAGTGTTAGACATGGGTGAAGTGGCAGCTGGTGAAGAGTATGGTGCGTTGGCAGGTGGGATGGCTGCTGCGGTGGCTGCTGCGGTGGCTGCTGCGGTGGCTGCTGCGGTGGTTGGTGGTTGAGAAGCTACAGTTGCTGCTGCAGTTGCTTCTGGCTGTTGAGTAGCCAAAAATTCTGCAAAGGCAGGATCTTTGTTCCTCATATAGGAGACCATCATCTCCAAGCTTGTGATGCGACTTTGATCTTTGCGTCGCTCCTCGTCACGTCTAGCATTTTCTTGGTCCACTTCAGCAAGCTTACGACGAGCAGCTACAAGATCTTCTTGCATCTCTAACAGTGAAGACGAAGAAGAGGAGCTTCCATAACTCTCTTTTCTCTTCCCTTTTTTTATCGTCTCTTTCAGCTGTCCAAGTCCAAAGGGGTTTCCCTTATTATCTGTGAAAGTACACTAAACACAAAAACATTTTTAGCTGTAAAGAAGGTTTACTCAAAACATTTACTCAAAAGAAGGTTTACTCAAACATTTTTAGCTGTCCAAGTCGATCAAAACAAAAGAAGATTATAAACATAGAAACTAGAATACAATTAACTGTTTATTCAAAACCAGAAAATCAACATCAAGTAATCTCAAATTTCTCTCAAACGTCAAAAAGAGCAATCAAAACCAGTCAATAAACATCAGCAAAATCAGACAAAGAACATAAGCAAAACCAGAAAATGAACATCAACAAAATCAGACATAAACATGAGCAAAACCAGACAATGAAATTCAGAAAACCAGACTCTACTCTTAAGCAAAATCAGACATAAACGTGAGCAAAAACAGACAATATTACTCAGAAAACAAGACTCTCAACATCAGCAAACCAGAAACTCAATATCAGTAAACTAAAGTCGAAATTACCTTAAGAAATATGTCATCTTTTTCTTGAATGGTGAGGGTTCGTTGAGTTGATTGTTGAGACGAAGGATCTGAAGTTTCGGAACCATCAACATCTATTTCAGACAATTTCTCCTCTAAGTTCTTCTCATAAGCATCATCGACATGTTTAGCCTTTTGATCAACAAAACTTCCATCTGACCTTGTGTGTGTTGACATAAACACTTCTCCAAGGGATACAGGACGCCCCAATTTTTCCTCCTATAATGACACAAACACATATAAATTATGTCAAAAGAAATACTTAAAGGAAGTGATAAATGTCTTACCAGATTTTGTCGAACTTGCACGTATGATTTCTGTCCAGATAAGTGTTTGTGGACTCCAAGACCGCCACGGTCGGAGTTACGGCACTCTGATGCATTAGTGCTCTTATAAACAGCTTCAGGAGTGTCCCAATGGTTCCACATTTCAACCCAAAGATCTGGGTGAATCCAAACAGGCATCTCACCACTCTTCTTAGCTTGAGACACAATTCCCTTCATCCGTCTTCTAGCGATAGTCAGGAAGTTTTCTCTCACCAGATCGGTAATCCCGCTGTCCCAGTTGTATTTCCGCTACGTAATACAACATTGATAAGTATAAATGATTATAATAATTACTAAGTAATTCATAATGTAGACTGTATATAATTTAATATTACCGCAAAGGTTCTGAAGTATCTTTCTTGGATGTGTATAGGCGTCACTTTCCAGCTGAAGTAGGGACCATCGAACTTCCTCCGAAATATTCCAGATATGACTCGAGCCAGTTTCCCGTTGTCTTGTCCAAACCTAGTAGATGAATATCAAAAGAAATTAGTCAATACATGAAATGCGAAATTCCAAAACATGAAAAGGTAAATAACTATCACAAAAGGGAATTAAACAAGCTACGAAACAGTCAAACTTTAGACTAATGAAGTTAAAAAAAACATCTCTAATTAAATACAAAACATGGGCTGAGAAGCTATAAAACAATCACACTTTATCCATTGTCATTTGATAAAAATGTGGGCTGAGAAGCTATGAAACAGTCAAGCTATGAGACTAAGAACTAAGAACTCATTGTCATTGAGCTCTTATAATCACAGACCCAAAGACTCCAATATTAAGACCCAAAGACTCCAATAACTATCACAAAAGGGAATTAAACATGCTACGAAACAGTCAAACTTTAGACTAATGAAGTTAAAAAAACCATCTCTAATTAAATACAAAACGTGGGCTGAGAAGCTATGAAACAGTCAAGCTATGAAACAATCACACTTTATCCATTGTCATTTGATAAAAACGTGGGCTGAGAAGCTATGAAACAGTCAAGCTATGAGACTAAGAACTAAGAACTCATTGTCATTGAGCTCTTATAATCACAGACCCAAAGACTCCAATATTAAGACCCAAAGACGTCTTATCAAATCACTAGCTCCTCTCATATTCAAAATCGAATTCATCTTAACCCATAAACGAAAGCATGAGTCTTAAATTCAAAATATGAAAAAGGGATAAATCTCAATCGAAATTGTCAAGCTCCAAAGACCAAGGACGAACTAATTTTTGTTACCAAGAGGAAACGAGAAGATGTTTTCTTACCAGATAGTCTCATGATCAGGGATAGCTTGTTGACTCAAGATTGGTAGACGTTGTCTTCCAGGAAGAGCCATTACAGCATCCAACAACTGCTGAAAGTCTTGTTGCTCATGATTCGGCTCCTGAGGCGGTGGTTGATGCTCCGGATTTGGAGAAGGTGGCGGTTGATGCTCCGGATTTGGAGGAGGCGGTGGTTGATGATGGGGATTCAGGTACATCGTTTGTGAAGCTTGAGCTGCTGGTTGTGGCTGACGGAGAGGTCGTTGCTGAGACGATGATGGATATTGACTAGGTAACACCGGCCGAGAAACCGAACCAGTCTCGTAAGAAGACGGGTTGGAAGAGTGAGAAGACGACCCACCAACTCCGTTTGATCGACCGCCACTGTTAATTCGAACACCACCGCCGGATCTGCCACCACGACCACCTCTTTTCGATTTCCCATTTGACAACATGGTAAGCAAACAAGAGGAAAAGAAGCACCGGAGAGAAGCGCCAGAGAGGAAGAATATCTAGAGAGATTCTAGGGTTTTTGTTTGGGAAAGTGTAAAGACTTTTGCTTTTCGCAAAAAATGTAAAGTGTAAACACTTAGTTATATCACGAAATTATTTTCGATCGGGGGAAATAAATTCCCGCTTAATAATTGCTGAAAATCTGAATTTTTTGTATCAGTCACAAAACGGTCACACATATTAGTAGTAGCTAATCCGTTGCATATTAATAAACTTAGTCACAAGCTCGTCGCAAAGTGTAACAATATTGTCACGCTATTTTGAGAGTCACAAACTTATATGAATTTTAATAGCCAAAAAATACATATATGACTTATAATCAATCATATTGATAACCTAGAGTCAAAAAATCTGTTTAAAGAAAAAACAAATGTATTACAAAACAAATTTTGAATGATATACAACTTTGAAGAATATTCAAAGTATAACACATGTAACACTTAATACATGATATGGTATTTACAAATATAGATTTATAATATAGACTTTATATCTTTTGTTATTAAGATTTAGTCTACATAATAGTTTAAATATATGTTGAAACTTAAAACTTAACATTATTTCAATTCAATGTTGTAAAAATTATGATTTTTAAATCTCGAGCAGTTGGTAAACAGAGGCAGAGTAGTCGCAAAGCCACTGGAGTAGCAAAGTAGTCACAAATATAGAGTCACAAACCACTATTTTAGTAGCAAGACGGTCGCAAAGAGTCACGTTTTTGTGACATTCTTGTATGAGTCACAAACCACTATTTTAAAATTCTAAACATTAAGATCCAACTACATTAATATTATGGAATTACAAGTATTTCTATTCCAAGTATAAAGTATATCTCTCATTTTAAGAGGGTAAAACAATCATTTAGTAAGTTTGTTTTCAAACTTACACAAATTAGAAATCTTACTTTAAAAACCTATGTAACATCTTGTACATGATTTGATATTTACAAAGATTTTGTCCAAAACTTTGAAAATAAAAACTTTAGATATAATCTATGTTTTTGTAGTAGCTCAAATCAATCTAAAAATGCGTAACTTAACAGATTTAACATTTTATTTCGTCAAAATACGAATTGTAAATCTCAAGGAGTTGGTAAACAGAGGCAAAATAGTGGCAATTTTGAGACTACCTTGCGACTCTCTTTTATGACTAAAAAAACGTCTCTAATCCGTCGTGAATGGCGACGCTGTTGCGACTCAAAATATGTAGCCGCACAATAGTTGGACAATAGTCACATATATGAGACCATTTACCGACGAGATTAGTCCGTCGTAAATATGTGACGATTTTGCGTCTGTTCCGGCTTTAGTCGTTAACAAGTCACAAAATGGTAACAAATGCGTCGCTCAATTTTGTGACCAAAAAAAAGGTCACAGAAGATAGTCCCAAATTGCATGTTTTCTTGTAGTGTCATCTTGTTGAGATCTTGCTAATATGAAGTTTTTATGTATTTCTGGGTTTGTGTTCTTGGTTATGAATTTTGAGTAGTGATTAGGGTTCTTGAGGATGGGTTAGAGTAGCTTAGAATCTTTAATCTGATAGGTGGTTGAGTTTGATTGGTAGATCCCTTCTGGATTAGTTGTTCTTAATGCTGATTGGTTTCTGATCAACTGGAATCTGAGCCCAGACATTTCCGCACCCAAAAGGTGTTCGATGAAATGTCTGAACCACTAATTCCAGAGATTCGTGGCTCTGTACCAAGGTATTGGTTACATGGAGCGTTTTGGCTTAGACTTGTTGTTTCGTAATGCCTGTTAAGTTAGCTCTCGTCAATGGTGATTGAGTCTGGGACTAGCTTTGCTTGAGGATCTCTGTTGCGGTAGCACTTTGATTTGGTTATTGAACTTGTTGTCTAGGGATAGTTTGTTGAGCATGTTAACCACCTATTAGATTAAGGAGACTTCACTACTCGATTACCCCATCCTCGGGAATTTCTCTTCCAATTGATTTCTTTGTTTACATCGCTTTTGATTGTTTGATCTTGTTACTTGTTGCTTAGTTTTATCATTTCTTGCCAGTTTCATTTGAAGTACTCGACCACACCCAGTAGTTTGGTAGCAAACTGTGCAGTCGAGTACCCAGTTTACAGTTTCTGTTAAGTTACTCGACCTGACACTCGACCACACCCAGTGCTTGGCTTCAAGCTGTGTTGGTCGAGTATATTGCCTGTTATTGTTAGAATTTCTGTTTCTGCATGATCACTAGAACTGTTAGCAACATCAAACTTGTTATTGCTTGGCTTGACTTTGTGATATCTGATTGCATCTTGATTGCTAGCATCACACCCATTTGGATTGACACCTTAAATACTACAATGACATGATAGTACTTTAAGGATAATTGATCTTAGTTAAAATCCTACTATCAGTTTGACTGGGCGGATCGCGGCCTTAAATCGTTTTATCTCGAGATCAACAGATAAGTCGTTGCCTTTTTACCAAATTCTAAAAGGAAACAAAGGATTCCTTTGGGATGACCAGTGTGAAGAAGCTTCCGGGCAGCTTAAGGCATACTTAACTACCCCATCTATATTATCTAAACCGGAAGTGGACGAAAAGCTTTATCTGTACGTGTCAGTTTCAAACCATGCGGTTAGTGGAGTCCAGGTCCGGGAAGACCGCGGGGAGCAGAAGCCGATTTACTATATAAGTAAGTCAATGACGGATCCGGAAACCAGATATACAATGATGGAAAAACTCGCACTCGCGGTGGTGATTTCGGCTCGGAAGCTGCGCCCATATTTTCAATCTCACCCGGTTGAAGTACTAACCAACCAGCCACTCCGAACAATACTTCATAGTCCAAGTCAGTCCGGACATTTGGCGAAATGGGCGGTGGAATTGAGCGAGTATGACATAAAATTCAAAAGCTGGATCAGTATGAAGGCTCAGGTTTTAGCAGATTTCCTGACCGAGCTACCAATACCTGGAACGATAGAGCAACCGGAGAACCAAACTTGGAAATTACATGTAGATGGGTCTTCATCAAAGTAAGGATCCGGAGTGGGAATCAAGTTGGAGTCTCCAACATCCGAAATTCTAGAACAATCATTCCGATTGTTATTTAATGCTTCCAACAATGAGGCAGAGTACGAAGCCCTAATAGCCGGACATCGATTGGCACAAGGAGTTGGAGCTAAGGAAATAGTCGCTTATTGTGATTCGCAATTAGTAGTTAACCAGTTTAATGGAAACTACGAGGCCAAGGACTCAAGAATGGAAGCATACCTCGAAGTGGTGAAGGATCTATCCAAAAATTTCTCGAAATTCGAATTAATTCGCATACCTCGGGGAGAGAATACAACCGCGGACGCATTTGCCGCGTTGGCATCAACATCAGATCCTGAGTTGAAAAGAGTTATTCCAGTGGAATGCATTTCGGAGCGAAGCATTCAAGACAACAAAGAAACCCTCGTCATTACTAGATCTCGAGCAGCGGCACGTGACCGTGGCGAATCGTAGGTCGAACTACCACCCATCAAACGGAAGAAATCAAACGGATCGAACACATCTAGCGAGGAACCTGTTATCTTAGCGGAAGATGTGATTCCAGAAACAGTATTAGAGACCGAGCCATTAATCGAGGAAGATATTCTTGAACCAAACGAGCATCCCGAACCAGAGCCACGAGTATTTCACAAGGTCGACCAAATTCCGGCTAAAGACTGGGGGGCTGACTGGAGGGAGCCAATAAAGCACTACATCATGACAGGCGAGCTCCCAAAGAATAAGTGGTAGGCCAGGAAAATGAAAATCGTTCGCGCGAAATTTTGTCTATCAAAGGACACATTGTATAGATGAGGTGTCAGTGACCCTTACCTATTGTGCATTTTTGGGCCCGAAGTCGAAGTCGTTATGAGCAAAGTGCATGAAGGATTATGTGGGAGTCATTCGTCAGGAAGGGCTATGGCTTTTAAAGTTAAAAGAATGAGATATTATTGGCCTACTATGATCACAGATTGTGTTAAGTTCGCCCAAAGATGTAAGCGCTGCCAACTCCATGCACCATTGATCCATCAACCTTCGGAGTTATTCTCCTCCATCTCCGCCCCATACCCGTTTATGAGGTGGTCAATGGACATCATTGGACCATTGCACAAATCAACTCGAGGTGTACAATACTTTTTGGTCCTGACGGACTACTTTTTGAAATGGATTGAAGCTGAGGCATATGTTGGTATCAAGGATTCGGCGGTGAAGACTTTCATTTGGAAAAACATTATATGTCGACATGGAGTTCCGTACGAAATAGTCACTGATAACGGGCCACAATTCATTTCGCATGAGTTTGATGCCTTTTGTGCGGACTGGGGAATCAAAGTCAGTTATTCTACTCCACGATATCCGCAAGGAAACGGTCAAGCTGAAGCCGCGAACAAGACGATATTGAGCAATCTCAAGAAACGCTTAAATCATCTAAAGGGAGGATGGTATGAAGAACTCCAACCCGTCCTATGGGCCTATCGTACAACCCCTAGGCGACCTACCGGAGAAACTCCATTCTCTTTGGTTTATGGCATGGAGGCAGTAGTACCGGCTGAACTCAACGTGCCTGGACTTCGCCGAACAGAAGCACCATTAAATGAGGAAGAAAATTCAGCAATGCTTAATGATTCACTAGATACCATAAATGAAAGGCGTGATCAAGCTTTGATTCGGATTCAGAATTACCAGCAGGCAGCAGCCCGATATTACAACTCTAAAGTTAAAAGTAGGCCGTTCTTCGTGGGAGATTATGTATTAAGGCGCGTCTTTGACAATAAAAAAGAAGAAGGTGCCGGTAAACTCGGTATTAATTGGGAAGGACCTTACATTGTTACCGAAGTGGTTCGGAACGGTGTTTATAGGCTGAAAGACTTAGAAGACAGGCCAGTCAAGCGACCTTGGAATGTGATCAACCTAAAGAAGTTTTATGTTTAAAGCTACATACATTTTTTATGTACATGAACTACGGTGTGGCTTGATCCCGAAATGGGTACGTAGGCAGCTCGGAAACGAGTTCAGCTATTAATAAAAAATTTGTTTTATTTCTTTATTAAAGGAAAAGGTTCGACTGTGCGAACAAGTGAAGCAAATAAAGGTTCG